ACTTTCTTCCACTTTGGAACTTCTCCTCTATTTGGCATGCCAACCAAGAGGGCAACTTCATCAGGATTAATCCTCAGATCTTTCCCTCCCATTCTGAAAATCATTTTTTCATGTATCCAACATTGCAATATTTGAAGTGTGACCACATTGTCTTGGGGATAAGGTGGAAGTGCAAAGAACTGATCAACATTCAAGGTTTTCAGCTCATTCATCATCTCGTCGGATACAACAAGCCTAACCTTATCAAGTGCATCTCGAACTACAGATGGTCGACATCTAGAACTGATGGACCTTGGGTTCACAAACCTACATCAAACATAATAGTGCAAAAAATATAAGGGGTTATGTATAAATGTTTTATTACGGGAATACAATGGTAATATTTAAGCAATATTATGTGATCTAGCATAGTATTATTTAGGTTATATTATAGTAATACTTATGTTGTATTCTAACATTGTAGTATTTTGGTTATATTATCGTTATATTTTTGTTGTACTGCTGTTGTATTTTTTGGTAAGGTTTAGTACTTAGGTTATATTATAGAAGTATTTCCGTTGTATTCAGGTAATATTATGAAGGTTATATTCCGGTGTAGTATTAAGGTTATATTCTGGTAGTTTTTTCGTTGTATTCTGTAATTATTATAGTATTATCTCTGTAATACTCATGTTATATTATTTAGGCTAACGTTACATTCTAGTGTTACTCAGGTTTTGTACTTGGGTTATATTCTAGAAGTTTTTCAGTTGTATTCAGGTATTATTATTATAAAGTTATATTTTGGTGTACAATTAATCTTATATTCTGGTAATTTCTTCGTTGTATTATGTTATTATTATAACTTTTTTTATGTAATACTGAGGTAAGATTTAAGGTATTGTAAATAGTGATTGATTTTGTATTATAATTGTATTCTAACAAGGATTATTGCGGTTTAATGTTGATTTTTAAAGGTAATATTGTGTGCACGTGTGTAGAACTCAAAAACACCAAAATAAAAATTACCTCGATGAACCCTCTTCGATTTCCTTCTTCTTTCGCTCTTTCCCCTCCTTTTTCTTGGGTTTCTCGGCCTGCATTGTCGATTCCTCTTCGGTTTCCATTATCACGGGCTCCTCCGTCTCCATTCTCACTGGCTCTCTTCTGTTTCCAACGACAAATCTAAAAGCCTGAGTTTATCTGATTCAAAAATCCTAAAAGATAGAATGAAGATCGAATGAAGGTGCTCCGTGCTCTCCTCGCTCGGGCGTCGTTTGATTTTTCGATGAAATAAACTTTCTTTCAGGCGCTCTGTTAATTTTTACTTGTTTCGGGACAGATTCGGGCCGGGTCGCGCCGTAAACATGCCTCAATTTTATTTTTTAAGTTGTGGGGCCCACTGTCCCAGATGTCATCTTTCCATTGGACACCGCACGCATAGTTGTGTGCGGTGTCCGCACAGAATAAGAACTCCTGTGCCCCTAATCTCTACCATTTCACAGAGATAACACCCTACCCGTTAGCGGGCCATCTAATTTATGTATTTCTTTTTAAATTGCTTCAATCATCTCCTATATTTCATTTTTTTTTTATTTAGTCTCATTATGTGAGGCATAGTATTTGACTAATTGATATTTGAAACCTTCTATATTCCAATTAGAATCTATGCAAAGCATGCTACAACCACTAAAGAATTCGATATATCCCAAAAATTAACATATTCTAAATGACACCCAATAATTAAAAAAAATGGTCTAACTCAAAGCCATCAAAATATTTATAAAAAATAGCAATTCCGAAAATAATTAAGCATGCATTGCTATTATAAATCTCATGTAAAATTAATTAATATTTGAAGTAAAAATAATGAACATAACTGTTTGGTTTTTTAGAACGCCGTCTAATCGTTTGGTTTGCACGTTTTTGAAAATGCTGTCTGCTGCGTTTGAGTTTTTACGTTAAATGCAGGCCGCGGATCAACCCCTACAGTCGACCCGCGGCCCGCGTTTCAGGATAAACTGCTTATTCTGAAGCGCACAAGTTGCCCCAAACAGATTCTTAAAAGTAAACCCGTGTTTTTCCATAAAAAAAACAATAATTAATAATTTCCTTGAAAAGATTAATAACCGAGGCATGTCGTCACACCAACTTTTCTGACTCAAAACATCAACATATTTATTAAAGTTTAAAGTAATTAAAAAAACAATTGAGTAGAGATTCTGAATCTTGAACCAATATGAAATCAGCTAACACCAAACTCAAAATATAAAATAATAAATTTCAAATTTAAATACAATACATATGTTTTCCCAAAATCAAGAATGAGTAAATAATAATTTTTTAAACATAATTTTGAAGGCATTTTCAACACTATAAAAAAATATCCAACTCAAATTATTAACATATTTATAATAAATAGAAAATTATTAAAATTAAATAAAATCAAAACCTTGTCACCACATGCATGGCGACATTGTGGATTTCATTCAACCCCCCGTCTACTTGTGTAGCTTCTATGTTGGGTTTCATGCGTGCTATCTCTCCCTGAGAAGTTTTTCCTTCGTAGTTAGCACCGCCTTTCGTTGGGGGCATGCCCACGCTCATCGTACTACCTTTCAGGATGTTGGATCCCGGATTGTCTTTTGTGACTACACCTCGAGAGTCAGAGTCGAGTAAATGAGAGAATGAAAAGAATCAAGAATTACTGCGAAGAGAACCGTGGGAGAGCCGAATTGGCCTGACCTCCTTTTATTACTATTTCGTCTTATATAATTACAGAAAGAAAAGAATAGTTGTGAAAACCGTTTTTAATATATATACATATAAATTTCATAACTTTCCCCGCCGCCCTCTTTGGTTGATAGAAAAAAAAAAATATTATTATTTTCAAAATGGTTAAGCAATCTGTCGTTGTTGCATGAAGCAATTAGTGAAAATTAGGATACGTGTGCCTTTTGTTCGTTGAATCTTTAATCAAACAATTAATGATGGAATCAAATTTCTCGCGCGATTTAAATGCATATCACTAAGCTATCATGCTTTCATATAATTAATATTTGGGATAATTACACACATACCATCCGAGACATTAATATTTACAAATTAACATTTCAAATGATTTTTTTGAACTATATATATATA